CCCCCCCCCATCTACTTTGGACACCTTTCTGGAAAATGCTTGTGTGAATGGCTCTGCTGGCAGAATTTTTCGTGGAAAGACCCAATGCTAAATACATGTAAGCATTTGTGGAAATCATGTTTTTCATCTCTTACAAATGTAAAGCTGTTCCATTAAGTTTAATCATTAGGGAACAGGCAAAAAATGCAACTTGATATTTGCAACCAATGAGAAGGTAAACAATCTCAGGATAAAACTGCATAGGCTCAGGGCTGATTTATAGAAATTGCTTAGTGAATAATGAATACGTTTGTGATTTATATGAAATCATGAAGATTGCAAGCTGCTCTTGGTTAACTCACAAAGGGGGGAAAGTAACAAAATACAAAGTTAATTAATTTGAATAATTTATTCTTGTATAAAGTCATTCATTTACTGTGAAATAGATTTCCATCCCTCTCCTTAGCAGCTTTATGCCCAAAATAAGGGGATAGCCAGAGGGAACGTGTGCATTTTGTATATGCTCAGAATGGTGCTAGGAAATGGACTTGGGAGAAATTTGAGGTTGACTGGATTTGCAGCTGAGGACCACGCTGAGAACGTCCCGCACTTTTTCTGTGCTTCTACTAGTAGTAAAAACCAAGGAACTCACTCAACACTTGTTTCATGAAGCTTTTGGAAACCTTTCAGGATGGTTTGGATAATGCCTCAGAATGGATTCCCTGCTACAAGGTGATAAATTTTGTTAAAAAGTATCTGCCTTTGGCCTACACTCAATCTCTAGAGCTGTTTATAGGCCCACCAGTAGTGTGGTGTTACCAGGAAAGAAATGTGCCCTTCAGTATTAACGACCTACCTGGAAAAACTGTTTTCCATACTGAAGCCAATCACAGATTTCCCAATCCATCAAACTCCAGCATGTGTGTACTTAACACCAAAACAAGGAAATAACTGACAGACAGAAATTCAGATATTTTATATAGATGTGAGATCACACTGCAGGACCGTGGCTTTGTCCAGTTCCCATTAAAGGCTGCATTGACAGTACAAAGTTATCTATATCTGTTCAGACCAGATTGCAAAGAACACAGTTTCCTGAGCAGAGCAAGAAACAAAATGAGCAGTTTCCTCTTTCATGTGCTCTTCATGTGCTCTTCATGTGCTCTTCATGTGCTCTTC